GTCCAGGTCATCTTCCTGATACAAAACAAGACTCTTCAAGGAAAACATTGCAGTGGGCATGAGCAAATGGAATACTGAAAGGAATTTGCCTGCTTGTGAAGACTTCAATTTTTCAGAAATATCAGCTGGAGGAGATATTTACATGGAAACAACTTAGCTTTATTCTAACTTTATGTGAATATTTGAACAAAATAAAACTTAATGGAATTGCTCAAGGTAGAGTTTACCATAGTTTTTCATTTATGTACCATGGCATGTGCTTTAGGCTAACTGGAAGCATAGTTCAACGTACTGTTAAAATTACTTAAATACTTCAATTTGATAGAATATGAAGTATTTTATTAAGGTAAATCAGAATTAGGTATCAGCTCAAAACTAAATATTCTGTAACCTATTTCATTTTGATAGTTTTATGGGATTGCTTACTCCATGTTATTTTTTATGCTTTTGGCAGTTCAATACTTTGGAAATTAAAAAGCGATCAACTAGCTCAAGTTAAAAACTGAGTTGTGAGAAGTCAGACAAATTTTGTGTTTCTGAACTTCCTTAGGCATATTCCAGGGTGAATATTGCCATTGAGACTTTGTTTCTTCATTCCTTTCTCCTAATATGCATGATGGCTACATCTTTAGTACCCCTTTACTTAGCACAAAATGCAGACAGAAAGAACCCAGAGATCATGTTATTCTATGTACACATTTACTGAAGCTTTACAAACTCTGTCATATACATACTGGACATACTCTTTAACATATTCTGAATTTATATTATAAAACTGTCTGCATCATAACTTACCATTTAAAAAGTATCTAGATTTAGTCAATTAGCATCGATAGTTGCTACCATAACAAAATCTCTACTGGACCCCCAGTCCCCAGGATGGAAAAGGGAGAACTTCATTACAATATGGAAAAGTTATGGCTGTTCTATTTTAAACAAAATGTAAATAACTGCATGTGCCAAAACAAACGGTATACATGTTGCACTGATCTAAATTGGAAGACATACCTATTAAGCCTTTTGGAACCATTTCTAAAGGACAAACATTTTCTTTTGCTTCAAAACACTCGTCTTTGTCTGAGGAGAATCAGAAATGTAGTACCACACAATTTTTGAAGAAGATTCTAAAACGTTTTTTTTTTTCTCTTTAATTTTGAAACTGCATCTTAAGTGCTTAGCCATGTAAAAGCCTAGACCTGTACATGATATTGTGGAGATTTTCTGATTATTTCTTAGAAACACTAGTTTTATTAATTATGCATAGAATTAAATTTCGTTTCAAAATGCCATACGGAGGAGCAACCCAACTGCGTCAAATAGAAATGTTCTTTTGACTCACTTTGTCCATACAGCCTGCATTTGCTAGTGGACGAAATGTTCATGCTGTTAGGCATCAACAAGGAATGGTTTAGTTTTCATTTAGAAGTAAAAGAGCTACTGTGGGCTAGCGAGGAAAAGCAACTAACTATATTAATTAAGCTGCTTGTTGGGCCTGAGTTTTCTACCTGGGTGCCGCAGTAACTAGATGAAGGACACATAAACGAGCACACGGAAGTTTACTTTTATGACCCTCTTCGAAAAACTGCCACCATATGCTCTAAAATAACTCAGCATAATAAGATGAGATGCTCGACCCACACTGCCTCTCACTGATCACCGATGAGATGAATTAAGCACACTGTACACGATTATTGTCTACTTCATGTATTAACTTCTCTGTGGGCCTGACTTTCTGCAGAGTGAACCTTATTGGCCCATAAGCAAGTGGGAATGGATAAGGGGTGAATCGGTCAGTGGAGAGGAGGGAGAGAGAGAAGAGAGTCGAAAGAGAAATTTTCAATTTCCAGTGATGTTCAGTGGTCCAGCTCTGGGGAGGAATGCAGGCTTAATGTGATGGTAGAGGCTGCCCTCGGACTTACGTTCTCTGGGAAGAGAGGTTATAAAATGGTGCATAAATTGCTTGTGCCTTGTATAAAAGAGGGTTAGGAAACTTTTATCTGTAAGGATTTTTAGTCAGCTATCTGATTGTGGCAAATCTATCTGGCAAGTGTTTACAGCTGTAACTTGCCACCCAATCTGTTTGAAGGAAACAAAACACTTGTTCTTTATGGGGAGATAACATTTTGACTAAATAAATGGTGATACCATACTGCAAACAGTAAAAGGTAGTCTTCTACGCCACCTACATACATATCTTGGCACACTTAATTACTACTGTGCACCAGGGCAGTGAGATCATAATTTTAACACTCCCTTTCAAATGTTTCAAAGTTTTCATTTTCAAAACAAGAAGAATCAAGAAACCACATGCTTATTTACTTGAATACGAGTAAATAAAAATTCCCCTTTTACCTGTGGGTCACACCCCGTTACCAAACCTCTGTCTCCAAAAAGTATTTGCATTACGATTCCTAACAGTAGCAAACTTACAGTTATGAAGTAGCAATAAAAACAATTTTATAAAAAAATAGTGTTATGGTTGGGGGTCACCACAACATGAGGAACTGTATCAAAGGGTCACAGCATTAGGAATTGAGAACCACTGGATTAGGACTCCATAGCCAAGGCAGAAATGTTCAGGTAATACTAGGGGGAACCAAAAGAGGGCATCGTTCACTCCTAAGTCTGTACAGGAGACCCCTGAGTTGTCAAACAGAAAACCCAAATCTTCAACCCAGGGTGAAGAGCATGCCACTGCTGCTGGCATTTTGTGCCCAGAAGGAGAAAAAAAAAAAAAGAAAAAGAAAGGAAATCACATGAAGAACAGGCAGGTTCTTCACAGTTGGGACGGCTGGCTACATTCAGCATTCATCTCTCCAGAAACAGGAGGCCAGAGACAGGTCTACCACTTTTTACAGACACTCGGAGTTTAATGTTTCAGAAGGCACAGACAGTCCTTTTGCTTAGATCAGGGCACAGAATGTCATGCAATAGCATGAGAATACAACAGCGAATGCCCTTCCTAACAGCATCTTAACTTCCAGAGGTTGTCTATAGTGAGGGACAGAAGGCAGAAGCTGGTAGATGGCTGTAACCCCTGAGATGAGAAGGACGCAATTAAATACATTGGAGGTATATGGGAAATAGCATAAAAATAATTTTTAGGCTTTTAGTAACATAAGCCTAACAAATGTTCATTCCTTCAAGTGGGAGAAAAAAGTAACCCGACACTTCATCAACTTGTTTTCCCATTTTATAATGGATGCTTGTTTTTCAATAGGTATGTATTTGGAATGTGTATGAGGGGTTGCTCACTGCACACGCCTGTCGTCAAATGTCCTTAGGGGTGGGGGGAAGAATAGTCTCTAAAGAGAAATCTCCCAACTGAACTCAGAAACGAGCTATACTGGAGAACACATTATCCTCGAATCACTGAGAGTAGCTGTTAAACGAGGGAAGCTGGGGGAAGGGAAGTGTGCTGAACTCCGTGGTAAGACAGCTGTTCGGAGGGAAACGTAAATTCTGAGAGAATGATTGTTTCCCAGAGTAGAATTCCATCCCTTAAAAAAAAAAAATTATCACTACATGTAATGAGTTCAATTGAAGGGAAACCTGTCGGGGGTTGGGGGGCGAGCATTTTATATCCCACCCAGGTAAAGAAGAGTGACCCGAACAGTTTCATGAAACACGGAGGTGCCTCCTATCCACCCCACCGGAAATCTAGGAGGCTGGTCTTTTCCTTCAGACGCCAGTATCAAAACAGGTTGAACAATATTTTCTGTTGCTCATTGTCTCCAGAAAAGCGGTGCCTAGCGGGGGAACATTGTGCAAGCCTCGTGTTTCTTTCCTCAAAACTACTAACCAGAGGGAAAAACGAACTCACAAACATTTCAGCCGGCCCCTGCCAAGGTACATCAGAGAAAGCCGAAACTGGGAATACAGGGTTTGGGAGAGGTTCAGCGAAATGTCTTGATTTAAAAAAAATTCAAGCCCACAAATTTCACCTCGTAGTTAGGAGGTCGGGTTAGCCCAAGGTGGCCTCGACACTGGTCTCTGGGCCCCAAGGAACAGAGCTCCAGATTAGGAGGGGAGAGTTGGGAGGAGTACTTATCTTGGTCCCACAGAGCTGGGTTGCTTCTGAGTCACCTCATCTACCCCACCACCTGTTACCCTCCTGTCTGGGCTTCTCAGAGATCACATTATAAAGGAGCCAAAGCCGCCGCCTTTCCATGATCCGGGGTTTGGATGCAGGAGCAGGGGCAGAAAAGCTGGGAGGATTCCCCAGGGCTGATCGAAAACTCCAGGTCCCCCTTTGGATGTCTGCGGCGCCCCTGTTTACCCGCCCGGCTGCCTTCAGCCCACTTCCCTTTGCTGCCGCGGGGGGAGGAGATGGTTAAAGATTACAATGTGGCCACCGGCACTTCAAAGGGCGGTTCGGCCAGCCAAAGGTAAAGATAACGTTCTGGCAGCTCTAATCGGGGTTTGTGGTTGCCACATTTTAATCACTTTGTTTAAAAAAAAAGAAAAAAAAAAGAAAAGAAAAAGGTTACATCACACTCTGATGCCCGGGATGCAAAGTAGACCGCCCCCCTCCCCACCCCGGGGGTGGGGTGGGGTGGGGGTTGGAGAAGTTGGGTTTCTCTTGCAGGGAAAGTTTTATAGCCCTGACGCAGCGGTCGCGGCCGTGTGCTGTAGGGCAGCGTGCTCTTGGGGTCCAGGTTCCTGAGCACAAATCCCCACATTAGGAGGGACTGGTCCTGCGACCTGCCAGGTGCTGCTGCACTGGGAAGCTGCTTGCGCGCACCAGCTCTTAGCCCGGGTGCGCTTCAAGCGGCTTCTCCTAGGGTACAGAAAACCAGGAGAGGCTCTGTCAGAGACACGTGCCTTTCTCTGGAGGCCGAAACAGGTCTGTCTGGTCAGGATGCCCTTGGCAAGCTCACCCGACCCCTCCAGAGCAGGCGTGCTCCGGGGAGCCCCAGCCTTGGCTCCCTCCAGCCCCCCCAGGCCCCCCCAGCCCCCTTTAGCCCCCGGTTCGCAGCAAGGCGGAGGGGTACACTTACAGGTAGGAGGTGAAGACGCTGAGGTTGGAGGGCAGCTCGGAGAGCCCCAGGTCCGAGCAGTCCACCCTGAGCAGCATCCTGCCATCCAGGTCACACTGACAGTGTGACGGGCAGCCCCGCGGCAGCGTGTCCGGCCTCGGCGGGCTGCCGGCGGCTACCAGCTGCAGCAGCGCCGGCAAGGACAGGAGCATGCTGCGGACGCGGGAGGTGTCCATGGTGCCCGAGGCTGGGAGCTGCGAGCCGGAAGCCTGTAGAGGGCAGCGCCGGGGCTGATGCAGACCGAGGCGCGCCGGGAGCCTCTCCACGGGCTTCTGCAGTTCACCGGGGCGTCTGTAACCCCGGTGGCTTCTGCAGCTAGGCGGGCGTCTGCCGGGTCGGAGCTCCGGTGGGGACCGCGCAGCGCGCTGTGGCCACGCCGGCCTCGGGACTCTCGCTGCAGTCGCCGCAGTGGCTGGCCGTAAGCGTTGTTGCTGCTGCAGGCGGTCTGAGCTGTGTGCAGCAGCATCTCCGCTCGCACGCTCCTTTTTTAAAGCGCTCCAGCCAAATTGCGCGCCCAGTGACGTCAGCGCAGCCCTGCTTTCCAGGCACCCCCTGAGCCCGGCCTCGCTTTCCCTCCGCCCTCCCACCCCCTCTCCTTTTCCCTGGACCCGGCTGCGCGGCGGCTGGCAGCGTTAAGTCTTGGCGAGTGCTGGGCGCTCCAACTGCGCCTCCGAGGGGGTGGGTTCCAGCACTCAGCGTCACGGACCCGGGCAGGGGACCCCCACCTGCACCCACCCTCTACAGTTCTTGGGCACCGGCAACCGAGATGTGAGAGCTGAGGGGGGGGGGGGAACCTGCTTCAGAAAAACATAAGCAGACATTTGGGGACCGAAAGATAGATAACGCAGGCTTCTTCCAAGTCCATGTCAGATAACCGGAGGGATGCACGCAGTGCTTTTGAAAAAAAAAAAAAAAAGACCAAAATCTAATCAGAAAGATAGTCATCAAGGAACGAGAGCAGGACTCCCCCGGGAAGATGGGTGGCCTTTTTGATCTTTCCGTCAAGGCGCTTTCTGCCTGGCTCATGCTTCAAAATCAAAGCCTTGAAGAAATCGCTAAACAAATAAAACTAGTAAACCGGCTCTCCAGGGTCTTCCCAATTTATCTCGGAATTGAGAGGCCGAAGTGACTTTTTAAAAGGCAGCGGCCTGGGATGGGAGTGAGTGATATTTTCACGGCAATGACCTCTAACGTAGGGATGCTGAATAGACCCACGCTCTTCACTTTGTGGAAGATTCCAGGTTCTTGCCCCTCCCCCTTTCCCTCCTTTCTTTTTCTTTTTTTCTAGACTAGACCTCAGAGAGGTAAACGTTGACCTCTCTCACACCTGAGTGAACAGCTGCAGATGTCAGGCTAAGCCCGCCATGCCAACTTCCAACAATGCAGTTTTCACTCTGGACCACAGGAAGGCAGGGAACCTTTTTCACTTTCAAGTCCACCAAAATTTACTTCTTTGCCTGTCTAGTGGGATTTATTTTACAGACTGAATTTTATAAGCAGGAAGACTTTTTTTTTTGCACGTACGTTTATTATCATTTACATTTAGAGTGATTTCTAAACTTGCCTACACATTCAGCGGATACATACATACATGAATATATAGTCACCTGGTATGCATATATATGAATATATATTATTTTATTTGAACCTATAGTCTGAGCATTGACTTTTTTGGGGTGAGTTCAGTTATCAGTAAGTTTGTGTTTCTCCTTGATAAGAGTTGGGGGGCCAGACAGACAGACAGACACACACACACACACACACACACACACACACACACACAGAGCATAGGCATGTTCTTTCTCACCTTTCTGATTTATCAAATAAAGAAATCATAGCCTAGGATTTAGGAAGAACTAATAGTACCAATGAGAATCATGCCAGAGTTAGTCTTGGCTTCTGTAAAAATCAATGCATTGCCCATTTTGTTCTTTTCCCTCACCTCCTTCCCAATTCATGATATATCCATCACTCCTGTTCTCTGCCTATTCTCACAGTTTTGTTTTTGTTTTTGTCTCTCTCAGCCATTCCCTCCAAACTTGGAGAATGCCCACTCATCTAACTTCCTTCCATTAAAACAAACAAACAATCTCCTAATTTATTTTTTTTTTTTGGTGTGTGTGAATGGAATCATCCACAGACAGGTTTAGGGGCACAAATGGAAAGTCGGCAGCATCCTAGAGCTAAGATACCCTTGCTCATGCATTGTGCATCTAAAGTGCTAATATATTCTGGATAGGAATCCCAACAGTGATGGTCAGCGTAGTTTTCCTTAGAGATATCCTGAACAAACAAATGTTTTGTTTAACCAGCTTCAGTCTGATCACTTTGAAGGAAGGGACTACTGATTCATCAGCATAGCTGTGCAGAAATGGTTGTGCCCACTATCCATTTAAAAAAAAAACAAACCAAAAAATGTCCTTTGATGATGTCAACACTACCCAAAGGAGCATAGTGTTGTTGTGAAACGAATCAGGCAGAACCATATGTGAATCTAGATTCTTCCAGTTTCAACTTGCTTCATCACAGACGCCAAATGAGCCAACTCTCAGCTGCCTTCTCAGCAAAGAGGTGGGGCTATTATTTACCTTGGTGGTTCTACATGTTACAGCGTCTGGAACTTGGCCCATACCAAATTTTCAAGCTGTCAGTGATTTTCCTCTTCTTTGGGGGTGGGGGAGCTTATTAACACATGTTGGTGGGGCAGGAAGGTTTCTGATTTGATGAAAACAGGGAAGCCAGACATCTGCCAAATGAACCCAAGGGGAATAAACATCGACTACCTCTTTTACCTCTTCCCTTTATCTTTCTTTTTCTGGTCTTCCCCCTCCATCCCTTCCTCTTTTTCCTTCCTTCCTTTTGCATACTCAACATTTATCTTCCTTTTGTAAGACTACTCCATAATTCCCCTTTGGGAGCTACCTCCCAAGCCGTGAGTTGGTTGGCCTTTTATGGTTCCACCTTCCTGTCCTGGGGTGGAAATGTGACCCTAGGAGAATTACCTGGGTCTGTCTGGAGGATTCTTATGGTTCCTGGAGTCAGAGCATCCTCATTTTGACATCATAAGCTCTAAGATGACCCTCTCCACCCCCCAGCCTCTGAGTTAAGGGAAGGTGCTGCCTCTGCCTTAAGGAGAAATCTCAATGGTAATAAATAGAGCATTACTATCAGTGAGGAGAAAAGTAAATTCCCAAGGTCACCTTCTAGACACCTGGATCTAAAGTCATCTGCTCCTAAGTGGATGAACACATAGTTTTATTTAATTGCTTAACCCGATGAGTGAGAATTCATCCACGGCCAATTTACAATCTAGCTCAGTGGAAAACTTGAAAGCATAGGGACCACCAAGGGCCTAATGGTTCTTCAAGCTCTTGACAATCTGGTAAAAGAAAATCACGTGGCTTGAAGATAAGACTGTTACAGCTGATGGGGATTTTGTTTCTTGAATGGATGTCTGTTAATTACTTAAGCTTCACCAATAAAGATGAACATACAGCAAACTAAATATCTTGCCCCTGAAAAGAGAGTTTCAATAAGACTTGTGAACAATGATCTCTGTTTTCTAGAAAATACCATCTGATTTATAAGACTTTCATATTGACTGACAATGACCAACAACATTGACCCAGTCTTAAGAATGACAGACATTTACTAGGCTGTGGGAAGAGATGTTTCCCTTTTCATTTGACATTTAAGGATGGGAAATGTGAGTGTTTTTCCCAATGGTGGCCCAGTATGTTGGGGGATGGGAGCTGAAATTCTAACTTGAATCTTTGTCCTCTGCTCTTAAATCCTGTATCCTTTTCCTTGTAACTTTAGAACCTGAATAGAACCCTGGGTTTATTATAATTTTATTGTGATATTATATCTATCTATCTATCTATCTATCTATCTATCTATCTATCTTTTCTGGTTTCTCTGAACAACTAATTACATATTGGAGTCAGAGAAAGGCAGACCCTTCTCCCCCCTTTCATGTGATAATAAGGTTAGCACGGGGAAGCTAGACATTTAGTATTTTTTGTTTGATGTTTTTCATTTTTTATGATTTTGGAAAGCATGTCAGTATTAATGAGCTACTGAGTAATAGAATATCCCATGCTAGAATGGAAATCACTCTATTTTTTTCCTGACCCTTTACTTCAAGTTCCTTGATGCCAGTGAGGTGTAGTCTGGAACATGTCCTGCTTTCTGGGTTTGCTAAACGGATATTTCCCCAGTTCTTTAATCTTTAATGGAAGTCCACAACTCAAAACATTCACATGTGCCACGAGAATTACTAACAAGCTTAGCTGAAGCATGCTGGGATCATTTTAGCTAACAGGTAAGTCAATATTTCTTTTACAAGAACAGTGAAATAGTGTTTACACAACTGGTGGGCTATTATGGACTTATTTAACTTGTTCGAAAGAGTCTAGAGCCCATTATTTACCCTCCTCATTTTACATTCATGATATAATCAGGCTAATGCTGAATTTCTTAACTTCCTTTTACCAACAACATCTAATTAATTGAGGAGGGAGGAAGAGGATTTAAGAATAAAGATCTATTTTCTTTGGGAATTATTTATTTTGTGAGAAAACATTAGTTCAGTTAATTCATTACTTTGAAACAGTCCATTATGTAAAATCAATTGGATCTGTCTTTGATTTTATCAAACATAAAGGCAACCTTTAATTGTATCCATATGTTCTAAAGGAAAGGACAGTGGTGACTGATACTATCAATTCTTTAGCTCATTTTGACCCTCTTGTCTATCTAATCCGTCTCTGATAATGAACGCACCCCCACGGCCCTGCCGCCTGCTTCCTGAGAACATGTGTCCAATCACCCTCACGTGGAAACCAGGGAGAGATTTTCTTTTCAAACTAAGAATAAAACCAATGAGAAAAACAAAAGAGCAGACCCTTGAAATGAAATGATCTTCCTGCCCATTCCTGTGATTTATTTAATTCATCTACATACTGCCCTTGCATCCAGACAAACTGTTCCATATGCCCACTCTTCACATGCTCGTCCTTAAATGGCAGGACTCAGGCAAAACCTAGGCTGTGCTCCAAAGATGATGAAGCACCAAGAGCTCCCCCTTTACAGCTGCTTCCCTGACACACCCTGGAGCCATATTCTATAGTGTCTTAATCCTTCATCTGAAAATGTAAAATCTCCACACCAGGTGGGGAGAGGTTTTGTGAGAAATACGTAGTAGCACATTTTGAACTGAGCTATGGTAAGTCTCTTTGTAAAGTATTTGCCCCTTGTAAATATTCAAATTCTGCAGGGGTACAGGTATGTTTGGCTGCAGGGTGCTTCCCCGGAGCCTACTGAGGATTTAATAAAACATAGGACATAGCATTCTAAATATATAGTATTTTTAAAAAACCCTCCAAAATTCTTCGTTTTGTAATGTCTATGATTTTTGACATTTTTTGGACTAAAGGACTGTGAACACATCCACATCAGTACAACGAGGAATATCTATTTTCAGAAGAAAAAGATCAAGGCAGTAAAAAAAAAATAT